TCACTTTAATGCCTTTGTGCGTTATTTTCCATAGGAAAAACTTCACCTTTTTAGGGTGATTTCCTTTCCATATTGCCTTTGCTAGCATGGGGTTTATTACTTGTACTTTTTCCCTATGTCCATCATCAAAGATTTTGTAGAGAAGACCCTATCAACACTCAGAAGCCATTTCAATAAGCCAGCTTCTTTTGACAATACAATTGGGGCAAAGTCGATGCTTAATTCGACCCATTTTCGTAGCTTTGTTATCCTTTAGGTTCCTACCAAGCTTTAGGTCTGCAAATTTGTTGACATCATTCCATCTTTCTTTGATTGTGGTCGTTCTGCTATGATAGGATCTATACATAAGTGGATATTGTAAGGCTAGCATGGTGTTTTCAATTAAAGAGTCAATCCAGAAAGATGTGCTTCCACCATCACTCACTCTGTGGCAAATGCGGTTGGTGATGAGGTTTTGGTGCTTTTTTATGTACCTCCATGGCTCCTTTGCAGAAGATGGAGGGGGTTGATTTGTACATGATGTAGGAGTATATTTAGCCTTTATAAGTTTTCTCCACAAGGCGTTGTCTCCATGATAATGTATCCATATCCATTTGGTGATGAGAGCTTTGTTCTTCTCCTTCATCGAAAATAGGCAAGTCCTCCCTTGTTTACTAGTAGGATTATGATATTCCATCAAACACGATGTAGGTCATCTTTTCACAAATAGTTTCTTAATAGTCTTTTTATATTCGTAGCCACCTTTTGTGGCATTTTGAATAGAGACATGTAACGTGGGAAGGTTGGATAGTGTGGCTTGTATTAGGGTGAGCCTTTCACTCTTAGAAGTATAAAATGATGACCATGTTGATAACCTTCTTTCTATTTGTTCAATAATAGTCTTCCAGAAGGAGAAGGATTTGTGGTTCCCAATTAAGGGTAATCCTAGGTACATATTCGGCCATTCGCCCTTTTCCAACCATATCTGCGGGCAACGTCCTCAATAATCTATGTGCTAACATTGATGCCCAAATCTCTGTTTTTTAGAGATTGATGTTTTGTCCTGAGAATCTTTCAAAGGTTTTTACCGCCTTGATGATGTTTTTTATGGATGAGACATCTGACAAATCAGAGAAGACGATTGTATCATCCGCAAGCTGACCTAAAATCCCTTTATCTATCCTTTGTATTCAGCTTTGGTGAGTGAGTGACTAAGACAATCCATTACCAATATGAAAAGGAAAGGGGATAGTGAATCCCCCTGCCAAAGACCTCGTGAGGCATGGATCTTCCCACTCAGTCTTCCGATGGAAAATGAGGAATTTTTTTATAAACAAAAATTTCATCAAAAATATATTAAACTGATGATATAAAATAAATTCTCCATCACATGTCAACAATCACAATTCAAAGAAAGGTTTGACTAACAAAACTACAAGAACCTGAAATTGGCCAACTATGAACCATCAAAGATACATTGACCCATAAAAAATGTGCCAAGGAAAGCAAGCCTATTTCTCCTCCCACAGCCTATCCTTCATTAAGTGATCTATCTATTCATTTTCAAGCAGGCAATAAGATTTGAAGATTCAAATTTATTGGGATTTAGGAAACAAACTATCATTTATCCAATCCATTTGCAGTACCAGGCAGCAGTCGTCCATCTCTTGACAATTAGCATCTGCCTCTAATGAAAAGTCCTATTGTCTACCGGACAAAGGTTCTTTGCAAGATTGGAATCTAATTGCGGCTCCGTAATCTTCCCCACAAAAATGGATTAAGTTGCTCATTAAACTTAGGTTTTCTAACAAGATACAAAAAAATTTATTGAAATAATGAAAAGTGGCTAATACTCAAAGAAACAAGGAAACAAACTCCAACAAGGGAGTGAACAAAAGAAATAACAGAACATGAGCAACCCATATGGCCCCCTAGTGTTATTGCATTAACGTAACACTATCTACTTGAATCACTTTCTCATTTCTTTTTGTATCTACCACGTTGGAATAAATCCACAATAGTTATCATCAACTTTCACACACATCTCCATCCCTTTCTTAGGCGTAACTTTTGTTTGAGCATTCAAACAAACTATCTATAGGCGATTTTTCCATTGATTGATAAAAACGAATGGAAGTGGTTCAATGCTCCAATCTTCAATTGAGAGAGATATTAGAGAAATAAAAGAATAAAAAATAATAAAACTAACGCAAATATGAATTAGGCGTGTTATCAAGATGGGACGGGGGCAGGGATGGCTTATCAAAAGAAAAAATGGAATATAACCTCAAAGTCTGGGTTATTTATCATTTGCTACTTACGTATCAATTAGATGAGAACCGGGAAACCACTAGCGCAAAGAGAAGAGAACAACTCTTTGGGTGCCAGAAGAGTTAAAGCAACTTATGTTTCAATTGGTATTAGTTAACTGCAGACTTAGATTTTGTTATCAAAAATCATAAAGCTAACTGGAACTAGCTTAACATAACAAAGGTAGCTGATCAACCCAAACAAACGTTTTTTAAAGCACAATTAGCAGTATTTAGACCTTACTGTAACAAAAGTAGTCGATCAGATTAAGTCAATGAAATTTGTAATTTCTCTTAACACTTAAAAGCAGTATACCGTGACTGCTATTTAAAAACTTACATCTTTCAGGGTGGAGAGTATTTCTTTCAAGGCAGAAGGACTGACTGCATCGTGAGATATGAGCTTTTGTAGAGACGAAAGTCCAATGACACTCAATTTTATAGTTTTGGCTTCACATGCCAACAAAAAAATTCGTAAAATGTCTTCATTTTCTGCAATATCACTGGGACTCATCATCGATCGAAGCTGCACATCAACAAAAAAAAAGAAAAAATGAAGAAGATGAATGTCAAATGCAGGACATTCCCAACACTCCGCAACCAAATTCGCTACAGTCTAATATCACGAAGCATAGATAAAGAATTTTGTTGCAGCATCCATACTTCATGCAACCCACTAGCAAGGAATTTCATCAACCAAAAAGAAGTTGAAGTTTGTCTCGCAGCATGAGAAACTGAAGAAAGGGCCCATTTCTCTAGAAACTAGCCCCGAACCCACACCCACAAACACAGAGAACAAAATATTATCGGAACAAGAATTAACACTCTTCATTTCTTTATGTCCTTCATTACACAGCAACCAAGCAGCAGCAAATTATAGCGTTACAAACAAGAATTTCAACTCAAACGGGTTCCAATTAGCTATTAAGATTGAACATCAACGTATACAATAACACCTCTACCATGATGCCAATTAAACCCACAGTTCACACTTCGTATAAGAGCAATAATGAAGTTGGACCTTTAAAATAGCGTGCTCAGCTCCATCTTTGACGGCCGGGTGACGGCGGCGAGCTTCAACGGACAGTGCGCGAAGATCAGATTCCAGAACAGCCATGAAAGCCATGACAAAAGCTACGGAGTGTGAATCTGTCAGTGACCAAATGCAGGTTGTATCATTTCAAAGCGAACTGCTAGAGATCAAACGTGCTATGAGATCGGATGAAGTAATTCACGAAAGGGAGAACAATAGATCTCTACCGAGAAATGGCAAGCAGGTGAAAACGGTGAAAGACGGAGAAACACGGTAGGGGAGAGAGACTTTTGCACGTGGGATTGACACGTGCGAACTGAAATGCCTTTGGACCTGAAGCCCATACGTGTGGGCTTTTCTGTTTTAAGCCCAACTCGTATAACCCAACTCCTAAAATAATAAACGAATTAAAAATAATAATAATAATAACAACTAAATTTCAATTATCAATTTATATGTAATTAAAAACATAAATTTTAAACAACTAAATTAGTTTTATTTTTAAATATTATTATTAAGTTCGTCAAATTTTGCATAAAATAGTTGGTGAAATTTTGGAATGCAAATGTGATTATGGAATGATTTGTTCATATTAGCAATTTTTATTAATGTTTGAGAATGCAAACCTACAACGGTGGTTAGAGGGTCGGGTTACTAAGCGGACTAATTTTGAATTATTTTAGTTTGTAGCAAAGTCGTCGTTGAGACTTTAGTCATATGTATATTTATTTCGTAGTTCGTTAGATTGCTCGTGACGATTACATTTCCCTCCATATTGTGTATATTTCAATGATATGCAACGTGTAATCGATATACTTTTGCTCAAGGGTCACTAACTAATCTCTAATGGTGTTTTGCCTACCGGCCCAGATTAGTAACATAGTTGGTTTTGTTGGATGATGAAAGTCCCATATCGGCTAATTTAGTGAATGATCATGGGTTTATAACTAAGAAATCCTATTTCCATTGGTGAGGCTTTTTGGGGAAACTCGAAGCAAAGCCATGAGAGCTTATGCTCAAAGTGGACAATATCATACTATTGTGGAGAGTCCTGTTCAACTAACAGGTTTAGTCTTGGGGTCACTCTCGTATATATTTCCTCAAAATATTTTTCGTGAGGTATTGTGTTGGAAATGCCTAACTTCATTAGAGAGACACCTAACGTTACTTGATATTGCAGGAATGACTCATGTAGGCACTAGAGCTAGTCGTGAGGTATTATGTTGGGAATGCCTAACTTCATTAGAGAGACGCCTAACCTCTTATGTTACTTGATATTGCAGGAATGACTCACGTAGGCACTAGAGCTGGTTGGTTAGCATAAACGTTTTTCATAAGTTACCCTGTCAAGATAGACCGTGACTAGAGTGTTGTCTATGCATGCAACATAATAGTGGTGCAGTCCGTAGATGGTCTGTGAGGTCCAATAGTATTAAGTAGGGTTCTTATGTTCGTTAGTGTAAACTAATTAGTCGAAGTGTATTTCCATGAATCCAATTCAAAGCTTTTTGTACATATATATATGTGTGGCTCTTTGAGCACTTCGGTTCGGTTCGGTTCGGCCTGAATTAAGTTTTACCGAATCAATTAGAGCCGGGTCGGTCTTCGGTTTCTTACACCTCCATATATAAGGAGGAGGTTGTCCAGAAGGACGACTGTTGGTGTGTATTTTTCCTTCACGCGTAAATTCATCTTCCCTCCCAACCATTTTCCTCTTGACCGTCGTAACAGAGAGAGAATTTAGAAGCGATTTTGAAGGAAGAGAGAAGGAGGATCGGTGGTTTTAGAGAGAGAATTTGAAGTCGATTGAACTGGCGAGGGAGTGAGAGTGTCCAAGAAAGCGAGGGGAAGTGAGGAAAGTGAAGGAAACGGAGGGAGAGTGGGGGAAAGAGAGATAGGAGAAGGAAGGGATGAAACATATTTTCAAGAAGTTTCATATTGGAAGCAATCACGAGCCGAATCGGCCTAACGAGAATCCGTTGCCTGGAGCAGCGTCGTCGTCAGATAATCGTCCTGCAACTGCTCCGGGGCAGATTTCCGGCAACTCTCCGTCGAGTCCTTCGTCGTCGCCGTTGCCGTCGCCGTCGCTGGCAACAACTCCCCCAGGGGGCGGAAGCACGGCTTCGGTTTCGGTAGCTCCTAATCGGTCTGACTACTTTTCTTCAGAGGAAGAGTTTCAGGTTCAGCTTGCCCTAGCTATTAGCGCCTCGAATTCCGACTTCCGGGATGATCCGGAGAAGGATCAAATTCGAGCTGCAACGCTTTTGAGCTTGGGAAATCACCGGATTGATTCCACTTCCAGGGACCAAGTAGATGCTGCCGAGGCGCTTTCGCGGCAATATTGGGTGAGCTTCTTGCTTTTTTGGGAGTTCATTCGACCAAGTTTTCTTTTTCGATAAATTGAACAAAACTAATGAGATGAAAACTAAAGCTTTGTGCTCTAATAGCCAATAGTTATGTATCTGATCCCATTGTACTAGGCAACCTACTGCTTTGTGGCTAAGTGCTCGAAACCTGGTCATTTATAGTCGTACTTTACCGCTGCATTTTTTATCAATTATACACTATAAGCATATTGAGTTGAAAGAGAGGGATTCCGGTTTGTCATCATCTGGTGCATCAGTTTTGTAGACAAGAATTCAGTATACCCTTTTTTCCCCTGCATTTGCATCGTGTCTGAGATGATTCATATTAGGAATAGATTTATTACGACTGTCGTTTCTATTAGTTTAGACTAACTATGTCAGGAGCTGAAATTAAAAAATTATCTTGCACAAAAACCATCAGGCACCTGCATAATTGCAGAGTTGTCTGGTTCATGGGAAAATATCACCTTTGTAAACAAATATATTAGAGAAGTGTTAAGGAAGCGGATTTCAAGCAAAATATGAGCAATGAATTGTTTTAATAAACTTATGTTTAAGAATACTAGTTGCTCCTTATTTTAGCGACACTATCTAGTCAATCCAGGAGGTAGCTACTGCTTCAATATATTGTAAAATATACACTGGTAGAGCTGGAATTTCCACAACCTTATTAGATGTTTGCCTTTTCACGTTGCCTTGATATTATTTTTCTTGTTACTCTACTCTGTAGGACTATTCAGTCCTTATCTAATATTAATTTTATTGCATTTTAAGGAATATAATCTCCTTGACTATGAAGAAAAAGTTGTCAATGGGTTTTATGATGTCCTCTCTACGGATTCAACAGTCCAAGGAAAAATTCCATCTCTATCTGATATTGAAGCAAGCTTTGGTAGTTCTGGCTTTGAAGTTGTAATGGTCAATATGACTGTTGATTCTGCACTAGAAGAGCTAGTGCAAATTGCTCAATGTATTGCAGATTGCCCTGGCACTGAGGTGAGAGTTTTGGTTCAGAGGCTTGCTGAGCTCGTTATGGGACACATGGGTGGACCTGTAAAGGACGCCAATTTTATGCTAGCTAGGTGGATGGAAAGAAGCACAGAGTTAAGAACTTCTCTTCACACAAGTGTGTTGCCTATTGGTTCCATTAATATTGGCCTCTCAAGACACCGTGCATTGCTTTTCAAGGTTGGTTGTAAAAAACTCTCTTAAACATCTGTAGTATCATGCAATCATTCTTTATTGAAGATTTTTAGCATCAGAGGAATCGTGGTGGTTTATGTCAGAGCTATATTATGAGAGGTGGCTTGTCAAGTGTAATAAAGCACGTGGTTTTACTGTCAATATAAATAACCAGAAGAAGTTTAGTTTCTTTTCTTTTTAACCCCTGAAGTAGAAGGTTATAGAACCCTCAATAAGGTTATGGGAAACTAAAATTGTCTTGGGGTGATAATTTTTTAGCATACCTGTTTTTAGTAATATATACGTTTATATATAATTTTAAGCTTTATTGTTATAATTATTTTTGAGCCAAAGCTTTATTGACTTTATTTGAACCTCCTTTCTTCCCTGGATATAGGTGTTAGCTGACGGTATCAAGATGCCTTGTAGGCTTGTTAAAGGTAGTCACTATACTGGTGTTGAAGAAGATGCTGTCAACATCATAAAGATGGAGGATGAAAGGTATATCCTTGTTCTGTTCCATTCATTTTTATCATTAATGGTGAGTTTGAATTTTAGTAACTGGGTAAAAAGAGTCATTCGTATAATATACTATTATGGTAATGTAGTTCGTATTATTTTTCTCTAATTTGTATGCCACTCCATCTGTCCCTAGACTAAACTTGTCCTAAAAGGCTCACTTAGTGAGCGTTCACTTATATCAAAACGAATTGTTATGAACATGTAGTTTGTGCTTTCAGGGAGTTTTTGGTTGATCTAATGGCAGCTCCTGGAACGCTTATACCAGCAGACGTATTGAATGCAAAGGACACTACTATGTTGAAGCCTTACAACCCTAAAGTAAGCAAAATTTCTTCTCTCCACTACTCTAATGATGTTGAAATTTCTTCCACGAAACCAACACCATCACTTGAGGAAAGCAGCAGTCAAAACTATGAAGCAGAGGGCAGCTCACTGGTGGATGGGAAACTGGGCTATGGAAGGACAGAGTCTGTGCCCTCAAGCTCAGGTGCCTATGATGACATTTATGTTATTTCTACAGTACCTGCTAGAAAAAAGTCCTGATTAAATGGAGAATCTTTTCTTGTTAGGTACTGGGACTTCTCGATACAAAGGGGTCCATTCTGGTGATAGTAATGTTAGACTGAATGTCAATGTAGTTCCATTTGGTCAAAGCTCCGAGGATCCCAAAAATCTTTTTGCAGATCTTAATCCTTTCCAGATAAAAGGAACTGGAAAAAGTTTCATTCTTAATAAATCCTCTGATAATAAAATTGAGGAGCTCCAGAAACCTACTACTGGGCATCCTCCTGTACCGTTGTGGAAAAATCGAGTTGCATTCAATGCTGTTCCCAAGAAAAAAGAGTACGATTATATGGAGGGTCGTCTTCCAAGAATTAATTGTGGATATAATGATCATAATATGGCATCATCTTCTTCTGCCAACTCTACAGTCTCTGAAAGTGTCAGCCTTTGTGGTTCAGGAACATCCATTGAATCAAATGTATCAATTAGAAGTGCTGAAGTTGGAAGTTCTTCATCTTATATGCACTCTCGGTCAACATCTGCCATGATTGAGCCTAATATTTTGCCTTCGATTGATGAACAGAACAGAAAGCAGAATGGAGAACATTCTGGAAGTACAGACTTGCAGGATAAAAATGTTGATACTGTTGATGGATGCGATAGTTTAATCAAATTTGATAATTGTAGAAAGTTCACATATGACAGATCTGTTGGAACCAATTTGATATCGAAGGATATGAGAAGTTCCAGCCCATCAATTGATCCAAGTTCGAATAGGTTTGAGAAAGTTTATGATGATGTGGATGTAGGCCAATGTGAAATACAATGGGAGGACCTCATTATCGGTGAAAGGATTGGACTAGGTACGCAATAGCTGATCAGAATCTTTCTATCTATCTCACTCACGTTATAATAGGGGCAGAGGTTGAAAATATAATAGTTATTGCCTCATTCCACAGTCAAAAACTTGTTAATAAATTGCTCTCTTTTTGTAATTACTTAAACGTTTGAAATACTTTACCTTCAGTTTCCTGGAGATCTTCATTTTTCCTTCTTTTAATTTCATGTTTTCTATATATAGGTTCATATGGAGAAGTCTACAATGCTGATTGGAATGGCACAGTGAGTTATATTAACTCTACTTCTATGTTATTGCATTCTATGGCCAGTCCTCCACTATTAAGCTCGGCACATTCAATTTTTCACTTCGTTTTTAGCTGCATTAACTTGTCAGATCCAAGTTGATACTTGTGACTCTTTGGTTATAATAAAATTCTCGCATATTATGTTAAATTATTTAACTAACACTAAACCTTGAATTATTGTGGCTGAATTATTTAAGTATCATTAAAGCCAAAAGCTTGGACTAATTGGGTCCATTGCACCAATTATGGGCTCAAATATTAATTTGGTTTATAAAACCCAAAACCCTAAATATTAATATCAATTAGGTAGGAAATGCTATTGTCAAAGTTGGAACAAAGGACTTAGCTTTGATCACTTGTTAGGACAATGGGTCTTTCCAAAATATGGATGATATTATCTATTTGGGCATAAGTTGTGTGGTTTTGCTTTTAAATTCTACCCAAAAGGCCATACCATTGAAGTTGTTGCCCTTATGATTATACTAAATATCTTTCCCACTTCTAGTCGATGTGTGACTGTATTTGCATCCATAACAGCTGTCCTCAAACAAAGTACCATTGGGCCTTGCCATTAATAACTTTTCCATCATCAACCAAAAATTTGGTTTCCATATAAAAGAAAATTGGAGAGAAGTGACATTGCATGACCTCATGTATGAATATTGTATTTGTTAAATTACCAATGAACCCAAAAAGGTTAACATAATGGGTTGCGATAAATTTAATTATATCAATCCTTCAACACTTCACACTTTTGGGCTTGAAAATTTGTAGAAGACTCAACAAGTTGACATCAATTAGAGAAAATGGCATGACAGGAGTTAGAGAAAATGGTGGAACGGTTTGGTGTCGATCAATCAGCTGGGATTGCCCTAGAAAAGGATCAAGTAAAGGGAAAGCAATTTGAAATTAATTGAAAAATCTTGCTAACATTGGTTAACAAGCCATCTCTTACTTCTTATGAGAGGTTGTAGGTTCTAACACCCACCACCCCCACACGTGATGCAATGTATTATGAAAAGTTAGTATATAAACATTGTTTGATGGCCTACAAGGGTGACATTTTGTGATGAATGAAATTGGAGTTTGGGGGTGTATCCCCGACAGAATTGAAGTTCGGTTGGTTGAAGCCTTAGGTGGCTGGAATCTCTAAAGAAAGGTTAAAATTCTTAGGAATTGTGCAACTAGAGGTCTCTTGGGAGTATTTGGGCAGATAAACCAAAGACTCTTCAAAGATAAGTTGTCCTCTTTTGGTAATGGGTTGAAACATAGTGTCTCGGTGGGTCTCAAACCACCCTAAATTCTTTTATAATTGCAACCTTCTCCTCATTATAAGTGATTGGAAGACACTCATTTGTTAGTGTTCTGGTGGGGGTTATCTCTAGCCCTAGCCCTTAGGCTGTTCTTTTGTGGCTCTTGGTTTGGCCTTTTCTAACACAGTTTTCGTTTCCTATAAAAAAAAAGCTAATTGTATAAACGTCAATGCCAACTTGTGTTTGGAACTCTGAGGGTGCCACCTTATCCTTCCCCTTTCTAGAAGAAATTTGAATGGCTTGGGTGGGGACTAACTTTCCTACATGAGTGGGAACTAACTTTCCTACACAATTTATGACGTGTCGAACAAAACCTTTCAGAGTTGCTTCTGTAAAGGCCTTTAGGTCTTGGAGAGCTTTATTGTTTCCGCTTCTGCTGGCCAGGTCGGTTTGTCATGGTGGAGCCTCTCTGCCTTTCACCTACACAAAAATGAACGATGTGCTCTGCTACCACCTGGTTTTTGTTAATCTGTTTGGTTAGGCTAACTTATTGCATGACCTGGAAATGAAAAAGGTTTAATCCTTTTCTCGTATCCCCAAATATAAATGAAATAGATTTCTGGGTTCTTATAGAATATTTAATTTTGAACTTTCAACTATATGAGCACTTGTCTTTTATGTTTTACCTCTCTGTTCTCTCCGTGTCTTTCTGACTTGTGAGGAAAAAATGTTATTGTTTATCTGTTTGTTTTCCATCTCTCTCCTCCTTTCTCTCAAGTCCATAAGCAAATATATGTTTATTCTTTCCCCATCTCTCTATTAGCTCAATTGTTTATCATATTCTCCCTTCTTCTTCTGCCTTACCTTAGTAAATTATAAAAAAAATTAATTATCGAATTCCTCTCTTACGCTTGTGGTCTTTTTTAAATTTATACACGTCTATGTAAGTTATACAGTGATTGACTTTTCTAACGCTAACAGCTTGATGTTGATTGATGGATTTGCAGGAGGTTGCGGTGAAGAAATTCTTAGACCAGGATTTTTCTGGCGCTGCTTTAGCTGAGTTCAAAAGAGAAGTAAGTGGAACAGTTACTTCCATAGAAAAATAGACTCCTAAATGCATAACTTTATGAAAAAAATTATTATTAATTTCTCTTGTAAAAAATCTACAAAAAATGATGAAACTTTTTTGAGTTGTATTGACATCTTGAGTTCTTGCCTCAGTAATGATTTGCATACAAATATTTTGATTTTTGTTAATGCATCTTACTTATATAAAAATTGGTATACATGAAATTTACAACAAATAACCAAATACTAATGGAGTTATATACGTTAGATTCCCAATTAGTCTATATCAAAGACGAGCAATGATAAAAGAGTAAATTGAATATAAGTCCAACACTTATTGGGCATGTAATGAATACTTGTTAAGCACAATTAACATGTATTGAACACTCATGAACATCTTGACAGTGAAATATGTAAAATGCATAGGCATTATTGATTTTAAATTGTCTTTTTGTTAAGACATTAAATCATTTAGAAAATTGATAATTTGGTTTTGATCTATATTGGTATTATGATATCGAACATTGTATCACAAATTCATAAGTATCACCCTCTTCTTAATCCCTGTGACACTAGAGTTTTGCCTCCAACTCATTTCTTCACTCCTCAATCCAGATGCCCCCTTCAAGCTTGATCCTCTCCTCCCTTGATCCTTCAGTAAGACTAACAATACTCTCCAATGAATCCAACATCCCCACCGTTTACACAACTTTTTATTCTGATTCTAGTTCTGTATAGATGCACGGCACTGCGGCCTAAAGACCAATGGGGGAATATTAGCAATATTTTTTGTGAAGTTTGGTGTTGCTCCATGTGGTTGTCAATTTTTTTTCTTTGAACTTGATACATGCAACTTCATAAAAAATAAATATTAAAAATAGTTAAAACGAATGGGTTACTTGCGATTTGAGTATGTATCTTCAATAAGTTATCTTCGACTGTGGACTTATATTATCTCTTGTGATGCAAGGTACTGATAATGCGACAACTACGTCATCCAAATATTGTTCTTTTTATGGGTGCAGTCACTCGTCCTCCTAACCTTTCCATTGTCACCGAGTTTCTTCCAAGGTATGAGTCCAATTTTACTTGAGTTTCTAAGATAGATTAATCCCCATCCCTTGCTCGCCCATAAAAAGGGGGAAAAAAAAAAAAAAAAAAGAAGAAGAAGAAGAATGTTTTAGATCATCCAAATGTGCGCATGTCTTCTTTTTTACTGTCAAGTTTTCTTGATGCAATTAAACTCCAGAGGAAGCTTGTACCGGATCATTCATCGCCCACATTGTCAAATTGATGAAAAACGCAGAATAAAAATGGCCCTTGATGTGGTATGTGATTAACTTTGAATATATTATCAACTAATGTTTGAGCCAAATACCATCTTTTGAATTCTTTATACAACGGCAGGCAAAGGGCATGAATTGCTTGCATACAAGTCATCCAACAATTGTTCACCGAGATCTGAAGTCACCGAATCTTTTAGTTGATAAGAACTGGAATGTGAAGGTATAACACCTTTGCTACTGCTGGTGCTTTATGTCTGTGGTTCTATTAATTACTACTTCTGTGACTTATTCACTGACATCTGAAGTCACCCATTTTTTTTCTTTTAAATGAATAAGCATATGTCATTAAGGTGAATGAGAACGTGCAGAAGACAACAGGGAGACTAAAAAAGACACGAAAATTACAATAATTTTTACCTAAAGGGGCACAAACTGTGGGGTAATAAGAAAAGGTGTGTGAACATATTTTTTTTTAGAAAAGTAAATCCAAAGAGAGATGATACACTGCTCTAGCCAAAGCTTCCTCCCATCACACATTAGTGACAATTTTTTTTGCTTATTCCTTTCTGATCAAATATTCCACAAAATAACTAAAAAACCAACCACCTAAAGAAACCACTCATTAGTCACCACTAATTAAGGTCTAATTTTGTTTAGCTAATTCGATTGTCTATCAATATCTTGGTAATGCAGAAGCTTTGGGGCTCTTCTTTTTTGGGTTGGCTTCAGATCGTTTTTAGTTTCGATTGTTTATTTATTTTGAAGTTCGAAGGTTGGTGGTTGTTTTCATGAATCCTTCTATTTTTTATAAAGATTATACGGATGTTTTATTTTGGTGGTTTGAAGTTTTGTGCGGCTGGACATTTTTGAGTTGGTTCTCAGACGTCAAATCTCCTCTCCCTTTCAGAATTTGATTTTAGATCTAATGGGCAGAAAAGATTGTTCTCAGTTGTCATATCTCTTTCATTTTTCTATCAATCTCTTTTGCTTGGAATCCAGCGTCTCAGCCTTTATTTCGATATTTTAATTGGATAATTATTTATGGCTCTTTTTGGAGGGGATTTAATAGTCTTTTTCTAAAGCTGCAATCCTGGTGGTTTGTTTGTTTCTTCTTATGTTTTCTTTGGCTTGGATTCTTGTTTGTTTATGATTGTTCTGCTCCCTCGTTCTCTCGTTCTTCTTAATAGAAGTTTTGTTTCTTAGTTTTTCTCCTAAAAAAGAAAGAAAATAGAAATCTTATTTACTTCATCCACACTCAAAATAAATAAATAAATAAAAGAAGGAAAAAACCATCATGAAGATGAAGGTACAGTGAGTATCAAACTTGAGTTATGCCATAAGGAATGAGAATATGTGAGGTACTTGTCTCTGTCTTCCTTTGACAGCTTTTATTTGCCCAGCAAGTTTGAGTTTGGCTACTTGAGGTCGAAGAAAAAGCTTTAAACAAGCCAGGTCCCACTTTACCAAGAATGTGGGTCGTTCAATATGTGATACCTATGGATGATATGTTTGTTAGATACTTAAACATAGTAAGGAATATTAGAATTGGTAACGGCCTTGTCTGCGGTATGATTTCTTCATTGTGTAGGTATCAGATTTTGGGTTGTCGCGCCTGAAGCACCACACATTTTTGTCATCCAAATCAACCGGAGGAACGGTGAGAAGAAGAGAAAGTTGACTTTTACTTCAAATGTTTTCTTCAGATTTTCTTTAAAATGCAAGATATAACTGAGTTAAATCATTCTCTCTCATTTGATTTCCATCTGTTAGCCTGAGTGGATGGCGCCAGAGGTTCTCCGGAATGAGCCTTCAAATGAAAAGTAAGTTGGAGTAATGGTGGTATTTCTCAAGTTCATTTTCAATTCACGTTTGAGCTTGGAATCTATGCTATCCTGTATATCAAATCCCCTCATATGGCATCAAATTGCATTCTAGGTCGATGGTTAGTTGTAAATGGTATGGGATCTATTTCTCTTAAAAATGCCGACAATAGTGGAAAGAACGTCGCAACCTTTGTGTGCAAGTAATTTCGTAATTGTTGGGCTTTCTAAGAAGATTGCAATTGTTAATTATTAGTCTTCTGCAATGTGAATTTGACCAATAGTTCTTAAAAAACAATTTGTCTAATTAAGATCCATGTTGAAAATTCAATGGGAGAGGAAAAACATGTTCCCAAAGTAAAATCCCATGAAAGATGACTAAGGTGCATTGATGTAAGAAGAACAATATCAAAGTTTCTTTAGCCAAAGAACTCCTAGTAGATTCTGGGTGGGAAACATATGAGAATTTAAGCATGGTTAAGTGGATATTTTGTTTTTTTTTGCAATGTGGCAGAGATAACTTGAAATATAACAGGATATGATAGCTTGTTCTTCAAATGCACAGGTGCGACGTTTATAGCTTTGGAATCATTCTATGGGAACTTGCTACATTAAGACTACCTTGGAGTGGTATGAATCCTATGCAAGTTGTTGGTGCAGTCGGTTTCCAGAATCGACGACTCGAAATACCCAAGGAAGTAGATCCCGCGGTTGCAAGGATAATCTGGGAATGCTGGCAAACGTAAGTTGCGTGTGTATTTTCTCACTTGCAAAACTCTTTTACACAAGTTAATATTGATATTCCTTTTGTCATGCTGTTGAATTCTTTTCCATGCTATTATTATTGCCAGCGATCCGAACTTGCGGCCCTCATTTGCACAATTAGCCAATTTTCTTAAGCCTCTGCAGCAACTCGTCCTGCCACCGCATTCAGACCAGCCGAGTTCGTCGATGCTGCAAGAGATTTCTGTAAATTCTACACCTTGATTGATACGGCTCATTGTTCTCAAGAATGAATAAGGAAACTCTTCTTGGTTGTTTCCCTCGAGTAGTGCTGTTGTATTGTATATTTTTGAAATGTAAAAACAAGTATTTAAAGAAAAGAAAAGAAAGGGAAAGATAGAAAAGAAAATGTTGTAGAGGTATATATAATACGGGATCAAAATGTAATGCTGTTCTTCCATGTTTTGCTTGTACAGTCGCCTGCTATTTGGTTTACACACAGGATCTCAAACTTTGTTCTGCTCCTTTCTCCGTTCACCCTCCCATAAAAAATCCTCAAGAATTTGAATTTAATGGAAATTTTCATACTTCGTTAAAAAAACAATTTCGGTATTTATACTTTAATAAGATTTTGAGTTTTAATTTGTTTAGTGTATAAAATTATATGATCTCTTATAAGTTTATTATATTTATATAATGTGACATTATGGGACTTTCTTGTACATGGAAATTACTCGAATTGCATTGAAGCTGTGTATTCACATTGAAGCCATGTGATATACTCATGTAACTTGTAGTAATTACTTATTTATGTACATAGAAATTGGTCCGATTTTCAAAATGGTTTTAGGTTTCTTGATCGTATTATACATTTTTGCTTGTGTATCGAACCGCAACATGAGATTACTTATTATCTTATACTACTTTAGCATTTGCCATAAATTCGGTATCTTTGATGATGTTATTATTATTTTTTTTAACACATATATGACGTTCTAAAAAATTTAGAAAATTGTGAACTAATTCTGTCTTGTCTTAATGATTAGTTATGAAACTCAATGTGATTTTGTTGTTATTAATAGAATGTTCGAGACATTTCATTTATTTTGTACTTCCAATAGCTTTACAAGGATACCCGGAATAAACTTTATTTACTTTGTTTGAAAATATATATTTCTAAATTTGTATTTACTTTTAAATATTTTTATTAACTTTTGATAATAACTGAAAAACTTTTCAATAATGGCCTTGGTAGGTCTAGACCTAAAAAGTAGGTCACTAAATCTCATAACCATTGCAAAGGCATGAAGAAACCAGAAAAAGAAAAGCTGCAAATTACAAGATTGAAGATCATTCTCCAATATCACGACTCTTCTGCAAGTGTTGAGCATTATTGGTCATGAACCTCAATGTTTATCTAAAGAGCAAAAAGGCTTCACAATCTCCTGATTGTTGTGTTGAGGTACACATTCAATTTCAATTTCAATATGCTATAACCATTCTATCATCACTAAATAGTAGAATGCAGAAAGCCAGTGTTCACTCACCAAATGATAGATAGAACCTGAATGAAAAACATCCAAATTTGAACTAAATTTAGTAACTTGTTGACCAATTTTCTGATATGGTATTATATACACTTTTCCCATGTCAAGACAGCTCTCTATATTCTAGTGTCATTATATATCCTTGTGATAAGTACAGCGAAGTTAAGAATAAGAATATATTTTCGCACATACTTATAGAGGCCTTAGAAGTGGATAATCTTCCAGGAGTTCACGCTCGGACAACGTGTCGTTCTCGTTCTGGGGTGTCCATAAAACCTCAACTGCCTGCATGCAAACAGAATAGAATTTGAGATCTAACAATAAACAGAACCTTTGCTTTTGGTTTTTAGTCATTTAAAATCGAACTTTCAAAGATCACTCCCGTGAGATGAGATTCTTCTATTTGTTATCTACTTTTGACCAATGTTTTCAAAACTCAATCAACGTTTGAAACTAAAAAAAGTAGTTTTTAAAGTCTTATTTTTGTTTTTGAAATTTGGTTTCCTAAAAAAAAAAAAAAAAAAGATAGGTAGGAACAACTGTGAAGAAACTGGGAAAAAACAAATTTAATTTTCAAAAACAAAAAAGCTAAAATAGAAATGATTATTGGGCCTAAAATACCAACTTACCAATATTTTGCTGGAAGGAATAGATGCTAGTTTTTGCAAAGCTTCCTTCAAGTCCCCACTACCATTGATAGCAGGTAGCTTGTGCACTCCCTCAGCAGCCACCAATATTGTTATCTAATATTCAAAATATTGTGATCAAAGGGTAGAAGAAAGGAAAGGAAACACCGTGGTCTTTTCTCTCATGAATATCAGATTATCATTCTAGCAAAACGAATGCACCTCTGTTAATTTCTCCTATTATGAATAAGAGAAACGGAACATCACGTTTTTTTCTCTAAAATGAGTGGTTTTCCAATATTACCACACACCTCACAAAAATCAAGAGAAAGAATACACCAAAAAGCATAGTCTAAATCAGCACAGCAAGAAAAATCAAGACAAAAAATAATGTAGAATAGTATACATTGCATAAAAATCAAGGCCAAGTGAAACTAACCACAATGTATTCATTGCTAAATCCACTTGTTCTCTGGCTGCTTGTACTCTGTCTTTTGATGCTATTCACGTTGACAAGAGTTTCCTCATCAAATTTCCCTCGCTCTTCAATTGATAATTTATTGAAACGCTTCTCTCCATCTTCTATACTACGTTTCAGATCCATCTAATTTTTTTTCAAAAAGAGTGAAATTAAGCTTCCAATACCAACTAAGGCTAGCAAGCCTTGTGAGAAATAATTCAAAGAAGAATGTGATAATAAGCATGCACATTGGAAACAAGAGTACGAGAAGAAACTTCACCACAAATTAAGAGCATAACATAACAAACCAGCTTATACAAAGTCTACCCCACAAATCCATTGAAGACTTAGCAAGTTCATGCACTAAAATTCCATTTCTAGGAGATATCAAAAGTTTTCTTTTAGCAAGCTTTTCAATCAGAATTCTGAACCTGAAGCAAAGGTTTACATTTCCCACCAAAGCCTCATGCCCCCTAGCCAATGGTGCTGACCCTGGGTGACTAACTAGTATATGATCAAATCATCAGTTTCAAGGGCTAATGTGAGCAAGGAGAGGGTCAGGAGAATGGTTTCTTTCTTTTATTTTTTATATATGAGAACAAAATATTCATTCAAAAAGGATTGTCACAGCCAAAAAAAGAACAATCTAAAGGACAAAGGAACAAGCTGACACTGACCCTTTTCCAAAATAACTAAGAAGGAATCAGAGAAAAGCCGTGTAAAGATACAAAAAAGCTTGCGTTGTGTACTCAAATTTGAGGCCATGAACTGTATAGGACAAGGGCGCTCCAATTGGGGTGTCACTTGAGGTGAAGACCCTAGTGTTTTGATTTCTGGAAACTAATTGAGGAAAAGATTTTGGAAAAACTTGCTGAAGGAAAAAGCTTCATCCTTTACAGAAGAGGTTAAGTCTTGCAACTTAGTTCTATCCAGAATCCCTACTTATTAATGCACTTCTTATTACCAATAAAGATGACAAAAAAACTGAGGAAAATGAAAATTTTCTTATAGGGTTTTCTCTAGCAAGTCCCTTTTGTCCCAGCAGATTATTGCCACAATTTTTAGAGGAAAGAGCATTAAAAGGGGTCATAGAGTGCCCAAGAAAATCAAGGTTGTTTTATGGACTAACGTTTGGTGGCACCCATGTAGAGGATTTAGAAAAAGATGACCTGTAAATCCCTTCTAAATTGGCGTGTTCTATGCAAAAAGAGACAAAACTCAGTTTCACTTAGTTTTCCTTTGATAGTAAATCAAAAAAAGGTTGGGACATTGTTCCAGAGTTATTCATTCTTGACACGGGGATAAAAAAAATCTCCTTGGTTGTCTTGATAAGAAGGAAAAGGTTTTAGTCCAACATATCTAATGCTAGTTTATAAGAACTATGGTTAGGGAGGAACCAAAGAATACCAAGTGAGGAGTGTAGAGATTGCGATGGGATTTTGCATTCAGCTAATTTTATTGCCCTTATAGTTAATATTTTCTAACAAAATTCTTTTGTAATTAAAGCCCATAAACTCAAATATAATCAATTTGTGAATTCTATTTCTCGTACTAATCACCATATTGATGAGTAGGTGTTCTGTTCAGAAAAATATATAGAGATATGATAATGGCAGAAAACAACCCGAGATTAGGCCCCTTGCTTAAAGGAAGATATTGGATTCTCCTATTAGCAAGTGAAAAGTGAACCCAATGCATAGCTCTGAACTTATTCCCTCGTGTGTATGGAAAACAGATTTTTTTTTTTTTTTTTTTGAACCAGAGATGTTCTTTTCATTAATGAAAGAGACTGATAAAACTTTTCATTCAATAAATGAAAAGAGATTAATGCTCGAAAGTACAAACTCTACAAGGGAGTAAAAAAAGAACAAGACATAACACAAAAAGAACAAGATGTAGAAGAAAACGTCCACAACGAGAAACACCAAGTGAACTGAACAAAAAGAAACTAGTAAAAAGAGAGCTTGAAGGACTAAATTCAACACAAATGATCACACTTCGAAAAACAAACCAAAGACAATGTCTAAGGACCCAAAGCCTTGAACAAAAAGAACAGGAAAGCTTCAAATATTTGAGTCCAACCAAAAAGAACTGAACTCCAAAACATCAAGCAAGAACTATTGAACCCAAACCACAAATGCAATAAATTAATTGAACTTCAACAACAAATGCTTTGGGAATTGAATAGAGGAATTTCCCGCATTTTAAGATCATAAGCTTCAATAAGAAAGTAAATTTGTAAGGCACTGATGAAGGAAGAAAATGAGGAATCTCTTCGTCACTTTCTTGAAATAATAATACTAAATCATCACCAAAAAAACACCTTTTGCACCAGTATCATCAATAGTAGTTTTTATAAGCTTAAAAGCTTCCGTACTACTCAAACTAATTTCAAATGCAACATCACAATCATCAACATGATGTGAGAGAGAACGAAAGGTAGTGGGATCCTTTTAAGAATGAAATACTTCTTTAGTAAAAACATGATCCGAATCTAATATAGTAAAAAAATTTGTCTACAAAACTGAGAAACAACTTTCTGGATAACATATTCTTGGCATTTGAGCAAGTTTAGTATAACTATTCAAAGATTCAACTCACGCTGTTCTTGATTGTAAAGGTGTTCGTAGTCTGTTGATTTTCTTGTGTACTGTTGTTCGTTTATTGAAGTATCTCATTTTACATTCCCCTGCCTTATTCAATGTGTTTTATTCATAAACAGGCATGAACAATCACCACTAGTACCCAGCAACCCTCAATACATAATTAATATGCACGTGTTAACTCTGTGCAACTAGATCAGGCAATCTCCAAGGACATAGTGGGACTTACAGATGAATAACCTGAAATGCAATAATCAGGATGTCGAAGTAGCGCAAGAATCGTTTCTGCAACCCAAAGTGGAAAACAAAAATCACATAGAGAATAAGCTACTTTAACTGCATAACAGAAGGGCATGCATGTGATTGCAGCTTAAAGAAATCTCTATAAACCATTTTGGAAGAATTTTAAACAGTTCCAAAACAAATAACAATATTGACTTAGAAATTTGTTTCGCGACGCCTGCTGGAAACAGTTTCAGAAGACAGAAGATGGCATCATTGTTATTAGGGTCTTATTTTTCTATAGGACCTTCTCACATGCAAGGACTAACAGTACCAGTTTACTGCTTTTTTTATGAAAGGAAACAATGAGCGAGGTAATTAATCTTGAGAGGAAGAAATCAATAGTTTACCAGTTAGTACATAGCTCAAACCCTCAGGGGTTGATGTATCAGCACTTTCAGCAATTCTATTTAGATCTCTTTGGAGTCCCCGGCCCATGCCCAACAACCCAACCTAGAGAGAGAGAGAGAGTTACGCCATGAGTTAAGAATGATGACATACTTGTAGAAATTTTTCATAAAGTAAATTGTAACTCTAGAATCTGCATTCATCTATCCTACAAGAAAATAAAAAATTCATGACTACAGAAACTAAGTTTTCTACGCTGTGCCAGTACATCATTACATTTTTTTTCAAATCGTGTACTGAACTTTACAACCTTTTTTGTGTCGTAAGAAATCAAAGGAACTCATTAAAATCATTTTAAAAACCTATAAAGGAAGAGGGGAGCATCAATCAAGGGAAATGGAATTTACAAAATCTCTTCCAATTAAGATAAGATAGGACAAGCTATAGTTAAAAAGAGAAGTAGGGCTCTCGACATCTTTGAAGGTTCTATTTCTTTTCAACAAGAAACATCCCCACCCTAAAAACAAATACTAGCAATGCTATAACATCAGACATCAAGATCCTCATCTTCTTTTCAAAAGAATGACCTCCATAAGCATAGGTGATGAGGGCATTCGGGTTAACTGCAAGAAACCATACTTCTATTTTTCATATTCAACGTTCATATTGTTGATTTCGAAAAAGATTCAGTCTGCATCAAAAGGCTCTTAATTTTAAACATAGAAACCTACAACTGTTTATGTGAGATCCCACATTTGGGAAAGAGAACGAAACATTATTTATAAGGATGTGAAAACCTCTCCCCAGCAGACGCGTTTTGAAAACCTTGAGGGGAAGCCGGAAAGGAAAGCCCAAGGAGGACCGTGGGCTTGGGCCATTACATTTTATCCTTCAAGAACACTGGCTACATCCTTGCTTGACAAACGACTTGTTTATCCATAGTGAATATGCACAACACACAGCCATGTTTTGAATTTCAACCGTTGATTCAAAAGACGAATGAGAGTAAACCTTAACACAAAATCCATATATCAGAAAGAAAGATACAGAGAGGGAAGGGTTTGTCATACTTGAAGTTTAAGCACGCTAGTTTTCTCAGAAGCAGTGAGAACACTACTATCGGACCGATCGGAGAGAAATCCCGAAACCAGAAGAAACGCCGCGAAACCAGCCAATATGAAGAAAAAACTTGATCCGGCACCGACTCCGACCCCAACCGCCGGCCCAACGTAAATCCCGCCGCCGCCAAACAACGACGGCGAACTATAAGGCGCAGAATATGAATAACCAGAAATCATCGACGGAGTTGAGTAACTCCTCGAAGACGAAGACGAGCGCGACGAAAACGCACTTCCTCCAACACGTCCACCAGAAGCGGCTAACGCAGAATTAGGATCGTACATCAACAGCAATCCCAACAACACCGCAGCAATCGCAGGCTTCCGCAACGCCATGAGAGCATTCATAATCGAATTGGCAATTACCTCCATTGGCCTTTTGGGTTTATCTCCATCGACCAATCGCTCCAACCTGGAATTCGAAGTTGTCAAACTCTTCCCCCCCTCCTTGGAAAAGAAGCATCTAACACCGAATTTGACAGAGCTAGACCCACCCATTCTCAAATTCTTGGGTAGAACAAAGGGTCTGTAGAGATGACAGCGACCACTCGTTGATGGAGAAGGAGAATGGACGAAATGAACTGGGAATTGGTTCCATTTCAATGGATGGGGTTCAAGCAATGAAGGTGAAACCATGGATTTTAGAGATTTGGAACTGGAATTTGGAGGGATTTTGCAGCGAAGATGAAATGGAATTGAGATATTTTCTTCCTTTTTTTTCTTTTTGTTGATTGGTTTTTGGTGGGAATGGTGAGGATCAAGATGAGGCTGAGGATGAATTCTCTCTCCCGGGAGGAAATATTGTGGTGGTAGTGAAGAGTACGGCGTGTTTGAGAAATGGCAACCTGGCACCTATTTGTGGATCCTTGCCTAATTAAAATATTTATTTTTTTAATATAAACAAAATAAATAAATAAATTGTTTTATTTTATTTAGAATTTGATTAAATTTGCGTGAAGTTTGTTTATATATATATATATATATATATATATTTTCTTAATTAATTTTGATTTAAATCCTCTTGGTCGAGATGATTAGATTCGTAAAGTTATTAAGGATGTAAAAAGATTTGAGTTTTAATGTTGGTTTAAGAGTTGATTAAGGTTATGTTCGAAAAGATAATTGGGTTAAAAAACCCTCCCGGTGTCATATTGCCCGAGCTATCTTGCGATCGCTCTCTTCTCCCTCTCCCTCTTGTGTTGTCTTTTCGTGTTGGTCATCGCTTATCATGGTTGTGTCGCAATTGTCCTCGCAGACGGGCGAGCGTTGAGTTAAACAATTATTTAGGCACATGACAATGACGATGTATTTTTATCTCCCTTAATGCACACACTGTCACCTCCATTTCCCCTACCCCACGCCTACCTCATGCCAATGAACTTCTCTCTCTCTTCATTGTTGTTTCTCTCTCTAAAGCGTTTTGCGCACCAATAGACTCGAATGTTCACTTGATCTTTGAGATTGGCCAGTAACCTATATTCATAGCTTTTTTTTTTCGTACTACTAAAAACAAGACTAAGTCGGTGCTACATGTCTTACATGATTTTTTTTCGCACGATTTCTCTCTCTTTCTATAATGACCTGATTACTAAAAAATGTTTTTTTTATTTTCACGATTCTACGAAATATTTATCTAAAAAGTAAAATTATGATCAAAACAAATAATTGAGGTCCCATACAAAATAATTTAAAGTCATGAAATCATATACGAGTGGCGATTGATAAGATCAGACTATAAAATAAGTTAATTAAGAATAGAAATCTATGAATTCAAGATCACATTTTATTTAATTATATATATATATATAATTAAATACTAATTTGAACGGTTAAACTATTTATTAAATAATTTTAATTAATCAGCTATAAATCACTCCTAAGCCATGGATAAGGAATATGAACGTATAAACTAAAAATAAACATAAAAATAAAAATAAAAATAAAAACCTTTTACCGTCGGTTTCCTCTTTCTCCCCGCTCCCTAACCATTCAACCTCTCTTCTTCATTTCTCTTTGATCTTCCTTCCCCTCTTCGGCGACAGATCCGCGGCCGCAGCTCGAATATCTCCTCGTTTGCGAATCCACGCCAGATTTGCGACGGTGACACTCATATCTGCGACACTCACACCCTCGGTATTAGATCTGCAGTGGCAAACCTTTTCCAACTGAAACATAGTGTTTTACGCGGTAAATTGTCCTTTGATCAAGTTTCTTAAGGTATTTAGGTCAATTCAGTTTACAATTTGGTTTGATTAGCTTCTGAAACAGTCTGTCCATTTCAAGATTTTCGGTTCAGTTAGAATTTTGGTGCCTTAAAAATTCAGATTAATTGTGTTCTCACTTGTGAGTGAGGATTGTGTATTGTTTGTTCGATTTCTTACGACTGACTTGTTATTTGATCACTTATATAAACGTGGAGTTGTAGTGATATTTTTACATCGTTTTTTGCTCGTCTCTCTAAGTGTATGTTTTTTCTTGATCGAATTAGATTGTTTTCTGAAAGTTATTATAATGATCTCTTTTTGTGCTTCCTTTGTCATCTTGTTGTACAAAATGTTTATTTCTTGTGATGCAATTTCTTTCAAAACCATGGACCTACAATCACATTCTAATAAAACATGTTCGAGATGATTTGGAGGACGGAAAGTGGATAGAACTTAAGGGTTTTAACTTTTTTTTGTTGACGATTTTTCACCAGTAGTTTCCACCAACGCTTACGAGAATTAGGGAATCATGATCGGAGTTGGGAAGGTCAAGCAGTATTCTAATGTCCTCGACAGACCTCTCAGCAAGGGCAAACAGGAGGTTGTTCCCCTTATCTCTACAGATACTTTTGCTTATTTTTTTCTTGTGAAAAATTTCAGCTCTATACATGTTTTACCTCTGTGTGGACCAATTTGTTTAAATAGAACTCTTTAGTTCCTTGCTGGATTTTGCAGTTGCAATCTTCATATGTATGTTTAACTAAGTGAAAACGCAAGAGCTTGGCATATTATTTCTTTGCTGAGCTTGTAAGTTTGCGTTGACTTGAACTTGAGTTTTTTTTCCTTCTAAATTATATATCTTTTTGTATCTGGAACAGAATCCTTACAGCAGGGCATATTATTTCTAGAGACCCCTTATTAACGGTCATTTGATAATTTGAAGTGAATTTGAGCTACAATATGCATGTGACTTCATTTTAATTTGTTTATGTGTAGGTGAGTTTGAGTGCATTTGCATTCTTGTTCTCTGAACTCGTGCAATACAATCAGACTCAGGTTGACAACATTGCTGAGTTAGAACGAAGGTGATTTTTTATTTGGAGCTATTATATCTTAACCAACACGGTTCATCATGGTCTTTGTTTCTGTTGGAAAGGGGGTACAAAAATTAGCAGGAGATGTACGTCAATAATGGCTAATGTTGTAGATTTGAAAATTCTTATGTTCATTTGATTGCACATTCTTTTTTTATTCTTTTCCTTATGATATATATATATATATATATATATATATATATATCTCCAAAGGCTCGATTTAAGGAGAGGGGTAAAGTTTCAGCTTTGTTTTAGACTTCGTAGTATTTAGGCAGTTAAATGCTCCTGTCCAGAGAAGGATTTGATCTTCTTGGGGCTATGCCCTTTTTGCGTCCATGAGGCAATTCAATGTGGGTGAAAGGATTGTAAATGTGATATGTTGATGATGTTGAATTCCGGAACTTTTTTGTTTTTTTTTTAATTCTTATTTTCAGATCTATATATCCCTTATAATAACAATGGAAACCATTCTGTCTAGGAATTATAGCAGCAATGTCGTATGTCCTTGTTACTTTTTTCTCTTGCACATTAGAATTGTTTATCTCACAGTTTGATGGCTTTGAACTAAAATGAATCAGGTTGGAGGATGCAGGCTATGCAGTTGGTGCTCGAGTATTGGAACTGTTTTGTCATCGAGAGAAGGTATAGAATCTTATGTTAAAGCTAATTGAACATTTCGCTTTCTTTAACTGAACCAAATTGTTCTTCTTTTTCAGCTGAAGTTTGTTTTATGTTCTCAGGATTTTATTTTAAGTTTAAATCGCAAATTTATTTTTAAAAAAGCTTTGAAATTCTTCCGAAGATTAGGGTTTTGAAATCTGGTTAAAAATGGTTGTCTAATCTTTAAAATAAAGATTTGTTTGGTGTAGATAACTTAATTGACAGTAATTTTTAAAAACAACATTCAGAACAAAAACTACCAGACGACAGAGATATATTTATTTTCTGGTCAGAATACACTTTTGGTCTTGTGTCTATTTGGTTCTTAAGGTTTGAAAATAGACATTTTTAGGCCTAGGGTTTCTAAAATAGCTCTAAATGGTCCCTAGGCCCATTTGACCATTGGTTGACTAACGGATTATGATGTTGTAATTGATGACTTGTATTATATTGACTTGGCAAAATTAAATAAAATTAATATTATTTTGCTGGTGAAGTGGCCTTTCTCTCTTTCTTTCCCTCTTCTTCTTTGTCTGTCCTATTCTCCCTGAACCTTACCACCATCATCTGCCTCTCTCCAGCCATCGATCACCGTCACTTCACTTTTGTTCTTCCCCTGCCACCTCTTCAGATCTGTAATGAAGACCTTCCTTCCAGATCAGAAGGCTCATTAGAAGGAAACTTCAGATATGGGAGGAAGCTCTTCATTCCAGATCTAAAGTCTCTCTGGAGATTTATTCTGAAAAGTAGTCTGGAATGAGATAGAAATGAAGTGTTCCAGACATCTATTTTAAATTAATTAGTTTCATGGTCTTTGGAAGGATTACAGTGATGTGGGTTTAGGAAAGGAGAAAAAGAACAGTGTAGTTAGAAATAAAGTCAGTCTTGTGTAGCATTTTTCTACTTCAAGTTTTGGAATGGGATTCGAAGTCTGTATAAACAAGTGTGATCTTGATTGGATGAAATATTAAGAAACTACAGTATAACAATAGCCTTTCGAGAGGGCTATCTCGTTTCCAAAGTCCCACAATGGACACTCCATTAAAATGATTCCCACCCTCTAAGTTCCCTAACACATTTCTGTCAATGATTTCTTCATTGTTTACCCAATCTATTCTCTCCACCACCTCCACATGACACCATTTAGAACTATTTTTCAAACCTTAGGTACTAAAAGTGCCCCTTTTCAGTCCTCGCGATCAAATAGCACCAACTCCTTACCTTAGGGATCAAAAGTGTATTTTTGCCCCGCTTTTTTATTTTGGATGTGTTCTGCAGTGTTTTCCAATCAATGGTTCATTAATTATAATAAGTACTTATTTAGGTATAATCTGCTATTCAAAAGTGTATTTTTTGAACTTACAACAAGAGAAATCTATTGAAAAAGAATTAGCGTGTAAAACTATGTTCTAAAACAACTATAAAAATACTCCCAAACCACTTAGCTAATTTTAGCGGCAGTTATCATTAATTCCCTTCTACTTGCAATGAAGATGGTAGATCTGTTTAACCATGAAAGTTTAGTTATTGATTAATTTTTGTTAGAGCATCAGTTTTTGGGCTTGTACATGGGAGATAACTCTTGAGCTTAAAGCGCAATATTTTTAGATTTGAATTGCAGATATTCATTTACATAATTTTTTCGTTCTTTTGTATTTACTCTGCCTTTAAGGTAACGTGCATATCTGCTTTATGCTTGTTTGTTCTCTCAGGGAAATAGACGGGAGACACGATTGTTAGGAATTCTGTCATTTGTACACAGCACAATTTGGAAGATTTTGTTTGGAAAGGTGAATACTTGTATTTTCTTGCACAAATTGCCCTTAAAGTATGGTAGATTACACCCTCTAACTTCAAATTTTGAAAATTAAACCTTATGTTGCAAGAGTAATATATATTACTCTCTTTTCTTATTATTCATTAGACAAGACCAGACAACTAATAATCTTGTGAAAAGGGAACTATACAAAAAAGGGAACAATGCAGAAAATGAAACAATAGAAAATAGGAAATAGGCTAATTCCCTTATTTAATAGGATTACACCTATACTCCTCAAATTAAGGTTATTCCTTTTTTGACTCCTTTGAATGTAGATCTTAGAGGGTAACCCAAAGATATGACAACATGAGTGGTATTCAGGATCTCACTGCATCGATACAGTTCAATGAGCCTCCGAAGTGTCCGACTTTACTTTGCACATCTGAATCTAAAACCACATTTCTTCATTAGTTTCTTTTAATTGATGTAGATTGAAAACTATTATAAAACTGTTTTTAAATTTAACTCCTAAACCGATCGTACATTTTCAGTTGGTTTTGGTTTGGTCTCCTGTGTCCAACTTGCTTTCCCATTCTTTAGGGTTCTCCTCTCCATATATGGATAGGGAGGTGTTCGAGGCTATAGCCGTTTTGGGGTTGATTAGGGATATTCAAATCAACCATGGTAGAAAGATTCTTCGTTTTGGCTTTTGAATCTTTTCTGGGGTTTTTTTGTGTAGTGTTTTTCAATCTTTGTGACCCCCCCCCCCCCCCCCCCCCCCCC